GGTTTCTCCTTCCTTCCCTGATAAAGACCCTTTGGTGGGCCGCTGTAAGACACAGATAAGACTATTTGGCTAGGACTCTGACCAAGAGCACAGTATGGGGCGAGAAGAGTGTAGTTAATTTGGCTTTCTGTTTTTAAACTGCTCTCTGGACCCCTTTTCTTTACCGTGCTGAGCATTGAACTCAGGGTTTTGCACATACTAGGCAAGTGCTCTAACGTTGAATTGTAACTACAGATCTTGAAATCCCATTTGATTTGCTTCATTTGTTTTGTCCTTTTAAGAATTAGGAAAATTAAGCTCTAGCAAAGCTCCTAGACCAACAATCAGAAATTGAAAATTAGTGAGGTTCTCAGTATATGACTGCTCTTGTAAGATAAAAGGATAACTAAAACTTAACGTTTCTCAGCTAGAGTTAATATTTTATATATTATCTATCTATCTATTTTATTTACATTGTTGTAAGATTCAATTCATTCATGGATTTCCACAAGCCACTGAAATCCTGCCTCTTCCATTTTCTAGTTGTGACATTACCTACATCATCTATTAAATAAGAATAGGGAGGTGGAGGTGGATCTGAAAGGAGTTACAGGAAGGGAGTGAATATGATCAAAATACATTGTATGTAATTCTCAACCAAATAATGTATTTTAAAAGGATGATTACCATATCCTTTTCATTAGGCTATGGTAGGGATAGCATTAGACTAATATCTACACACACAGTTGAAACAGTGCCTCACAGTGAGCTCACAGAAATTGTTTGTTATTGTGATTATAGTTCAAAACAATTTTTTTGGCAGATCCAATGACTTACCTCATTATTCTAACACGTTTAGAGGTATCAATAGCTCTATGTCCTTTTTCATCACTGCACCTTTTCCCTTTTGGTGCTTTGGCTGGAACCAAGAGTATTGGGTGTGTTAGATAAGCACTGAACTATGACCTTCAACCCTAACATGTATATTAAAAACAGTGTGTGATGGGGGTGTATGCCCTTACATTGCACAGCCTTAATCCCAGCACTTGGGAGTCAGAAGCAGGCAGATATCTGAGTTCAAGGCCAGCCTGGTCTATAGAGCGAGTTCCAGGGAAGCCAGGGGTACACAGTGAAACCCTGTCCAGAAAGAGAAGTGTGGTTATTAACATGTTGTGGCCACATTATATTTCTAGTAAATTATTGCCTATTTTTTACTGGTATATATTTATTTTTCCCTTGGTACCAAATGCAGAGCTTTGCATGCAGTAAATGTTTGACACAACTTTACTGAATAAATTTCAGCTGTTGATGAGTTAAATGCTGAAATTTATTTTATTGATAACACTGACTGTGTCTGGACCCTCAGTGAAACCTCTGTCCCCAGATTCAGGTGTAAAAGAAGTTCTTGAGTTCCGATCTCAGTGTGCCTTACACATTGCATCAGCCTGTAGGTTTCCTCTCACAGGAAGCCCAGTGCAATCCTGTGCAGAGCAATCATCAAGGTTGGGGTGGAATGTGTGGACATCAGCCATCTCTTGCACAGGAAGTGGCCATAGGTTTGCAATTGTCTTTGTGCTCTTTCTCTTTAAGGTTTCCCGAAAGAGGTGGAGGTGAATGACCAAGGAAATGAACTCAAAGTAAAAAGGTGCTTCCCTGGTTCCCACTTAAAGGTAAATAAGCTAAGGATCTTGGAGAGTAAAGGCCAGGAGGTCTTCTTATCCATTTTGTCATTCATTTACTCACCTGATAGTCCTGGGGAAAACATTTAACCCCTTGCCTCGAGAAGACAGTGAAGGCTTAGAAATAGTCCTGACTTTGGGTTTCTAATAAAAATGGGTACATGAGGACAGTAGGCTAACTACTGATTTTGCTTGAGGTTTTTAAAGAAGACTTTCTAGTAACAGACAGCATCATTTTTATCTCTCCATCTTTTAAGACATACCTAAAGCCTTACTCTTCTGAGAATCTTTCTAACCTGTCAACTCTTCATCCCTCATCCTGGTAAAACTGTATATATTAATCTATACTTCTGATGATACTTTATAGCTTTATCAAATATTTGCCGCATTCTATAGAGTAGCACAGTTTCTTTCATACATTTCTGTTTTCTCCTTTCCTGTAGCCTGAGCATCCTTGAATCAGATATGATGATTGAGGTTCAGCTAGTACACGATTATTTAAGGTCATATAGTTAATGAATCACAGAGCTGAGTCGAAGGACTCTGTCTCAGTGTTCTTTCTCATCTAGTACTGAGTACATGAACATATATACAGAATGGGTCCCCATCGCTGCCTGCAATTTCTCCTTCTTACTCTTTTCTTTTTTTCCGCATCTTCCTTTCTTCCCAAACACTGCTGTGGAAGACAGCGCCTCAAATAGGAAGTCTGTTTGACTTTCTGTTGCTCTGAAAAACAGCGTGGACAACAGGCATAGCAAAAGAGGCCCCCTTTACTGGATGTGGTGACACATAACACGGAATCCTAGCACTTGTATGGCTGAGGCAGGGGGATTGCTTCAGTTTGAGTTTGGGGCTGGTCTGAGAAAGGTCCTGAAAATTTGGGACTTAAAGGGAGACTTTGTCTCAAAAATAAAAATAAAATGAACAGCCCCTTTGTGCTGTTGTTACCAACTTGTTGTGAGCTTGTGGGATAAAGAGGAACTCTCAGGCCTTCAGTACCCTTTGTCCTACTTTATATTCTCTTTACAGATGGTCTTTAAAAAAAACCTAGCTGATCCCTAATAGTCTCTTTCATGGACCTTCTGTGTTGATGAAAATGGACACCATTAATTATTCCTTTAGTAAAGTCATTGTCTCCAGAAGTATCTTGTTTAGAAGCTAGTGGAGATGGCTGGGAATGTAGCTTCAAACCGTTTGAGCACCTGTCTAGCATATGAGAAGCCATGATCTTAATCCCCCAAATCACACACATAAAAGAAAACAAAATAACCAGTAAAATACCTTAACTGAGGGCACACAAAAGGAATGACTTGCTGAACGTAAGTTTTCCAGAGTTAGTTGAGAGAACATAGTCCCTTCCTAGAAAAAGGCTTACTGCCTTGCTTCCCAGAAACTTAAAAGAAACACGAGTCAAATATGTCTAGAAGCCAAATCTGGAGACACTGTTCTCAGGGTCTAAGCTAATAAATTATTCTGGTGGAAGGAAGTTATTTGCAAGCTAGTGTTAATGTGAGTGGATCCCTACTGTAGGCTATCCTCAGAGCCTTAGGCCCTGTAATCACATGAAAACACACAATAAATAAAGAGGATCAGGGATCGAGTCATTCATAAAGGAACATGGAATGTTTGAGTCAGAGAGGCTGAAAACAACAATGATTCCCAACTATGCCGTTTAGAGAAGGAACAGAGTTGAAACTAGGTCCTCACACTCCTAATTCTCAGGATATTTGCTTGAGTTTGAATGTTAAAAAAAACAACTTTATATGGCATGAATAGATTATTTACAGGAGCTTGAATCTTGCCCAGAGCCTTATTTCCACTAGTTGAGGCTGAGGCGCTGTAACCATTGAAGCTTGTTTTAGGTAGATCTTGAAAACATGACAGGCTCTGTCCCCATCCTTTGTCCTCTGTGTCATTAGAATGTAAGGTGGAAGGTCCGAAATGAGTATCCGTCATCTTTCTGGTTGTGAATAATGACTTCCCAGGGCTTGAGCATACAACTCACTGTCTTCCCAAACTCTTTCGTTCCCCCTTTTTATCCTGAAGGTCACGTTGAACTTAAAGATGTAACATTATCTTTTATTTTATTTTAGCTACTTTTTCCTTCTTTGTGGTTAATACAATACATTTTAAAACATCCTAACATCTGGGGCAAATTCTGCCTTCGCCATTATTTCCTAGTGTTGTTTACTTAGACACACTGTTTTTTTTAGTGTGTGGCAGCATATTCACTGCAATAGCTTGGTCAGAATATGGCTTGTCTCACTTGCTGTATCTCTGGTGAGAATGCAGACTCTCTGAGACTCACAGGGAGGGAGCAATATACTAGCCACACTCCTGAACACCTCAAGCCATGCCTGAAGTTCAGATCAAGCTGAACACTGGGAAGGTATTCCAGGTAGTGGTGAGGTTCAGCCCTGATTTGAGCTCACTTACTTTCACAGCAGAGAAATACTGAATTGCATGATTTGCAAGACGGCCCAGTGGGTGCTGCCTTCTCAGGAGAACAGCCCTTTGTGTTGTACTCACAGACCCCCAGGCCCCATGCAGCTGAGGCCTGGTAAAGCAGCCACCTCTACTTCCACAAAAGTGATGCTCTGAAGATGGAGCAAGTAGGTGCTGCTGTTCCTGGAGGCAAGGAGCCAGAAGTTTCTACATTCTCTATTTCTTAATCTTTTTTAAACTGTTCTATAATTTGGGATCTAGACTCATGGGAAGAACAGTCATGTCCAAAAGAGAACTAGCTTGTCTTTAAAAGGGGGTGGGGGTGACTCTGTCACTTATTTTGTGCTAGTCCTTGTAAATTGTGTAGCTGGTTCTGTCTGTTTACTTCAGGAAAGAAGTAAAGTGGTATTCCAGGGCTAGAAGGTCTTCTCACAGAATAAGATTGACATTATTTCAATGGAAGTGGTGTGGTGTCATATTTCAGATTTGACACAAATTTGGTTCAAATTTTAAATTTTGACAATAGATTTCCATTACATAATATCATAGCTCTGATATTTGAGGATTCCCTCAGTTGCTCTGAGGAAACCTCCTAGCCTCATGGGCAGAGCACAAAGGCAGCTTGTTAACTTCCTGCTTTCCCACTCGGTAGCATGGGAAGTCAGCGAGTGTCTTTGGAGGTTGGTTGAGAATGGGTGGAGACAGAGCAGTAGGGCGATTGCTGCTTTAGCAACCCCTTTCACAACAGCTCTCTTTTGTCATTTTGCACCCAGATTTCCGTTGGTTAGCCTCAACTTTATCTTCCTCATTTCTGTTTCCTCTTCATGACACAGAGTCCTTCCGAACATGTGACCTTCCTGCTCACAACATAAAGCGCAGCTTTCCCTGATCTCTATAGTTCGGTTCATCACCTGTATCCCACGCCAATGACCACTTCAGGCACCACTTCAATGACAGGTATAGTATCCATTTTTTCACTTTGATTTCCATGCTGAGACAGTGCCTATAACAACTAACAGTAATTTGGATATGCCTAACTGATTCTCAGATCATAGTTAGGGATGCAGGTCAAAGATGAGACAGGCGAAGTTTTCTATTGGCTGTCTATCCTAGAGCTTATGATTACTGAGAGGAGGAACATGATAATTCCTAACAAATGATGGTGTTTAGAAGACAGTGGTGCAGAAGTTAAATGTTCTTCAGAGTCAGAAGTTAGGAGTTCTGAAGATCATGTTTTGTTTTGTCCTTTGTCTATCACTTTTCTTTCAGTGAGTCGTTTCTGCATTCTAGCACTCAGTGTTGGAGTCTCTTTTTCAAAGAAGAGGAAGACAAAGATGGAGTGCTGTCTATGTCTTAGTCTCCATATCTCTTATTTTGAAGGTTATCAGCCCTCAGCTGGGAGCAGCAATGAGACTGAAGCTCGAATGTGTACCTCTAAGCAGTGCTGAACACATCCTGGAAAGTTGGTGTTGATATGAACGGTATGACTGAGGGATGAAAGTTCCTTTTCTAGTCTTCTACTTCATTACTCAAATTTGAGAATTTAAAAGTCACATAGAAGGAAGTTTGGAGTAGAAAGAGAACAAATGTGTAAGTGAGGAACAGAGGTCTAGAGAGAAAGAAGGTATTGCCCAAGGCCACACAGAACCTACCACAGCTCAGTCTAACCACAGGCCAGTGCTCTTTTGTCCTGCTGTAGGAGACTGAGATACCAAAAAGTAAGAGGTGCCCTGCAACTGAGGCAGGTGGATCTCCTTATATTGGAAGAAATCTGGATATTCGGGCATGTCCTGAGTACTTCTTTTTAACTAATCTATTTCCTGATAGGTGACTTATTCTGCACACTTAGATCTTTTGGTAAGACCTCATACCTCTTTTACCAAGCTTATGCCCTCCAATTTCTTTCATGAAGACTGATCTATTCTTGGTCTCATTGAGAGCAGCCTTCTGGAGCTATCCAGTGGAGGATTTTGCACTCTCATGGGGAAAATGATGCTATTTCGGATAATGACAAACAGAAGAGTTCAAGAATTCTTCAATTAGCACCCCATGTAGTCATCTCTCTCTTCATTCTACGGGTCTGACTAACCTTTTTCAAATGAACTTGCTTTTCTTCTATGTACTCCTTTGAACAGGTGTGAACTAGAACATCAAGAGTGAAAATGAAACTGGCCTACATCCAGCTTAATGACTGACTCCTTCCATCAATACTGGGAAACAGTATTTATAATAATCTTTTAATTCAGTGTACTGACTCTTTAACCCCTCTCATACCTCTTTTTCAGGCTTCCTGGGGTGAATGGGGTCAGATAGGGCATTCAGGAGGCTATGGATACCTCTGGAGTGTCCAACTCTTCTTATAGCAGGTGACAGGCAGTGGAGATGATGACAGGAAATAACACCACCACCACCAGTCCATTACTCTTTTCTCTGCCCTTGTAAACTCAAACTCTCCTTGGATTTTACTAGCTCCAGAGTCCGAAGCAAGGTCTCTTTAAGCACCTTTAGAAGAAGCTATAGAAATCTCATCAGACAATTTTCAACTACCTTGACATGTAAGACTTCTGTCTCCGTCTCTAGAGAAGACAAGTTGAAGCCTAAGAAAGACTTATCCCAGCTATGACTGGCTAGGATCAGTATCTAATTTTGTCTGATTCTTTCCTCTGTACCACATGTGGCATGACAGCTGCTTTGCCAGAAAGCCACACTTCTGGGAGATGTAGGCTGGATTGGGAGACAGTGAGAAAAGTTAAGGCGTAGAAAAGACAGTTTGATCTTTAGCTTTTAAGTCATCAAATTGGAGTGATTGTTAACCTCTTCCATTAAGCTAAGACTAGAAAAAACAGCATATTCTTACTGAAATACCATACAGGGAAGCTCTCCTTTCCTAGTAATCTTGGGATATGTTTGCCACTTTTTGTGCCAGTGCTTAATACAGACCATCCATTTTTTTTTCAAACCTACATTTAGATCTGGACAGGACAAAATTCGACACTGGCAAGCTGGCATTGTGAGTAACAGGATGCATGTGATGCAAAAGACAATCTCAAACAAGTTCCAGGAGAGGCTCTCCTGGCAGCTTCCCTACTGCCCCAGTGGCTGTGAGTTCAAAGAGCCTAACGCTGCCCTGCAAAATCCACCGCCCTCCTTTGCTCTTTGTTGCTCTTTTGCAGGGGGTATAAGAAAAAGACAGGAAAACGTGACAGTGAGGAAACCTGAGGGACACAACTTATTGTATGACCTATAGCAAGTCTTTCCCCAAACTTCATTTTCTCATTGATAATCTTGAGTTGGTAAAACCAGATGACTTATAAGGGAATTTTAATAGGATTTGTTCTTTGCTATTTATGAGAAAGCTGGCTAAGGCCACAAGAAATTACTGTTTCAATTCTGTTAAACAAATTGTCAATCATTTAGTTCATGTTAATATTTATTTCATTTATTTATTTTAATTTTAAAAACCCATTTTAGTCACTTTCTTTCTGTGCAGGGGATCGAATACAGAGTTTTGTACATGTTAGTCAAATGCTCTGCCAATGAGTTTTATCCCTAGGCCTTTTGTTTGTTTGTTTGAGATAGGGTCATATTACATAGTCCAGGTTGGCCTCAAACCTGAAGTTTTCCTACCTCTGTCTATGAATGCTGATATTCAGGCATGTACTATCATAACTGGCTATAACCACAGTTCATGAGCATTTGCTACATAACAAGTACTAAGTTAATGGCTTTCAATGCTTTATCACATATTGTCACAATGACTTTATGCACATTCTTGTGGCTATAAAAAAAGCTAGGTGTCAGGGACATAAAATCATTTCTCTAAGCTGTCCGGCTGGTTAATGGCAGAGCTAGAATTCAAGCCCATTTTTATTTTTATTTTTTTGGTTTTTCGAGACAGGGTTTCTCTGTGTAGCTTTGCGCCTTTCCTGGAACTCACTTGGTAGTCCAGGCTGGCCTCGAACTCACAGTCAAGCCCATTTTTAAAAGTCAAAGTCTAGGTGCATAACTGGGATGCTGAAAACACAGCATGAAGGGAAGTCGATAGAAGGAAGGAATAAGGATATTGTCTTTGAGGCCTTTCAAATCAGGGAGGAAGGATGGTGACCAAACCATCCTGTTTTAGCTGAATAGATGAGTTGACTGTGGCTTGGGCCACTGGAGTCTCCAGACAAACACTCAGGATCCCAGTTTTGGGATGGAGCCTTCAGCCTATTTTGTTCACTTCCCTCTTTTGGTGTTTCAGCTGGACATGTCAGCCTCTGCCATTTGCCTGGGGCTCAGGGGATAACTTAATGACCACATTCCTTCTCCTTCCAGGTGCACATCTTCCAGGATGCCCAGTGGAAGTTCCTGATCTGGCCTTCTGCAGTGTCACGCTCCGTGTATTTGACAAGCTGAGTTGGACACTCTGTGTGGTAGAGTGTCAGTTTGTCAAATACCCCAAGTGTGGCTCATGCCTGTCAGCTCCAGGCCCAGGACAGAAGAATAGCCAGCCTGCTGACTATATATGAATGTTTATGAAACACCAAGCTCTCTCACGTTACTCTATGGTTTTTGAGGGAACTATAACATTTTGTCAGGGGACATAGGGGTAAGAATGATGCAGCTCTGGGGCCCAAAAATCTGGGATATATCTATCTACTTACCTTGTGGGAATGCCATGGAATGCACAATGGTATTGAAAATACATAAGTGATACCAGGAAGAAGTGCTATTTGATTTATTATTAATGTCTTCTTTTACATTGCTCTTCTTGCAGCCTGAACACCAGAATTTTCATACAAGTATCATGACTTTTATAAGAAAGTAGGACATAGAAATCCACGTTCTTGCCCTTGGAGCACATCTTGACCTTACCTACGTTTTATCTTTTTCTCTTTGCTTTTCTCCTTCTTAAACCACTCCTCCTGCTTCTCTTTGCACACCCAATTCTTCCATGTACTTTCAGACCATGCCAAATTCCAATCGCTCTGGGCAGTTTTGAAAGTCCACCTAGACTTTTCCTTTACTCCTTGACTAGATACATTTCCTGCCACCCAACATATTCTCCTAAATTGTCAGTGAATTGTTCCAGGGTATATTCTTGAATTCCCCATTACGTTGTAAGAGTCTAGAGTGTATTATATTTACTTGATTGCTGTCTTTCCTACCATTGTCCAACATTTTAATTTATTTAATAAAAGCTAACCAATTAATTGATGTCCTACTTGTCCATTGCCTTTGGGTATGTGGGTCAAATATCACCCAGGGTTTTGTGAAAAAAAATCAAGCTGTGGGTATTCAAATGCTATAGTGTATACAAGTAGTAACCAAATGGGATTTTTTTCTGAGAAATAGGACTTAGGGCTGGAGAAGTAGGAAAGGGGAAAATAGGCTCAGAGGGCAAATAAATTTTGGACTTATTTGTTTACATGGAACTTTTTAACAGAATTTTCTGAGCCTTTACTAATCTAATGCTGCACTGAGTGAACTTCTGATACAGAACTATAGAAAAGGGTTTCTAACATCTATCTCCAGAGTCTAACATTTCATTATTTTATATACATATACATATATATATATATATTTACATTTCATGATATATTGGCAAGCTTCTCTAGAGAAATCCCATACTTTCCCTCTGTTCTGGAGATACCTACCTTCACTCTAACTTTCCACTCACCATCCAGCCACCTAAATGACAAGACCTGTCTTGTCACCCCATTTTTGCTTAGAAGAGCCTAAAGGCTGCCATTCTATATAGGAATGACTCACTGGTTTATCCCACATGGAAAAACATGTTACTTTAGGGGCAAAGAGCATCTTCAGAAGACATCTGAAACAATGTATGCACACTGGTAAAAAATCTATAGGTCTCAATTTCAGTCTCTGTCCTGCCCTTGGCTTGATGTATGTCACTCTGGACAAGTCATCGTTTCTCACTGGCTCTCATTTCCCAATTTGTGATATGTGAATGCTCAGATCAGTAATCTTTAAGCTTTTTCAGATGAAAGACTAGGAGACATCCCTGGTGGTTCCTGTGTAGGGGCTTCCCTGAATTTGTGATTAATTTTACTAGGGCAATTTCAATAAAAATTCTCTCTTCAAGCCCAGTGGTTTTTTTTTCCATCAGAATAAGATAAATGAGTGTTTTCAAAGGCTTGGGGGTCTGGACTCAGAGCTGTTTCATGAAGGAAGCTGAGGTTTCTACTGGGTGGGGCCCCTGTTGTGGAGGCTTGTAAGTGAAATGGAGAAGAAGAAGTTGTCCTTCTCACCAATTATGTGTAGCTAGCATTCAGCAAAGAGGAAAATGCTGAGGTTTTAATCATTGACTTGGTGGCATCAGTGGGGGTGAAATGGGGAGGGCTCTTACTTGTTCTTTTTGTGTACTATTTTGACTTTTGTAATCATCTTAAAGTGGGAGCAGCTCTTGTTGAAACCTGACCTGATCCCGTGCTTATGCAGAAAACATAGGCAACGTAGTAATTCTCATGAATAGTAAGGAAGTTGACTTGGCATGAAATACATGGTGGGAAGGAAACAGTGCAAACTTGGCCCCAAACAATTTCTTTACAAGAGAGTTTGATTCAAAGGTACATAAATATATAGTACTTCCCTTCCCTCCTCTTTGCCTCCCCTTCCCTTCACCTTCCTCTTCCCTCTCTTCCCCCTCCCCTCCTCTCCCTTCCCTTCTCTTTCCTAAAAAAAAAAAAAAAAGAATCTGTTACTCTTAACCCTTTCCACATTGTAAGAAGAGTTCAGGAGTTAGAGAAGATGACCAATGAATATTGTAACTAACTCAAAGATTTTACTGGTACTACACACATACTTTGAAAAGAAGGGAACTACTTCATATCTACATTCATAGTTCTGCAAGAAAGAAGTAGGGCTTCTGGCCAAACTTCCTGTTGCCCTGAAAAGAGTCACCAAGCAGAGCTGAAAGAAAGATGGAGTTGGGGATGGATGTTATGTAGAATACTATTTAAAAAAAGATTGATTTGCTTTAGATAGGACTATCCATGGTGTGGGAAGGGAAATGGCATGAGTTCAGAGGTGAAAGACCAGGTAACCAAGAAACAACTGACAGCAACAAAAGGTAAAGGTAAAGCTCAGCAGCCCTCTAATCCCAGCTATGTGGAAGGCTAAGGCAACTGGCAAGCTCAAAGCCTAGAGAGGGAAATAAAGGCAACTCTGGGCAAGTTAATGAGAGCTCAGAAAAATAAAAAGTAAAAAGAGTACAAGAATATAGCTCAGTAGTAGAGAACTTGGTTAACTCAGGTTAAATTTCTTGTAAAACACACACACACACACACACACACACACACACACACACACACACACACGCACGCACACACTTTCTTGTAAAACACACACACACACACACAGAGCAGAAAAGTGTGTGATCTATATTTCTAGGGGTGCTTACCATCTTATTTAGTCTCATTTTAGGTAGATTTTATTGTGTCTTGAGAGAAGACAAACACAACTGAAGTTGCTGTCATGATTAAACATTTATTAACACCAAAAAGAATACAAGGGCATTAGATTCTCAGTGTAGGAACAGATCTGTACCTTGGCCTGTGATTTGGCAATATTAATCAAAAGTCCTCTGGCTCTAGAGAAAGGGATTTAATCATGGACACAGATGGTTGCCTGAGTTGGTAGGACTGAACCTCGTCTGATTTTCTGGTGATGCCTTGAGGCATAAAGAAGAACCTCTAGTGCTGTGGGAATTTTTCTGGTGTTTGCAGAGGAGTTGTAGAGGCCCCAGGCAGAACATAGAAGGGTCCAGGGCCAAATCCAGAAGCTAGCTTTCTTGAGGTGCATATGGTAAATTCTTAGCCAAACCAAGATTTCCTTCCCAGTGGCCCCGACATTGGCAGAGTTGATACTTTAGGTTGTGTAGGAAGAAAGGAAGCAAGTAAGAAAGCTATGCTAAGGGCAAGAACTGAGTAAGTCAGTAGACCTTGACTTAGAGGGGCATTTTAGCAGGTGTTGTCTTCAGTAGCAAGAACTTCATAGTTTCTGGGAGCTGTGTGAAACAGGCATGAATAATCATTGTTGATCTGGGTGATTATTTGGTACTCTTGGCCCAGGCAAGGCTCATCAGAATAGTCATTGATCAGAGCATGAGAATCTGGTTCATCACTGAAGTGTCCACTTGAGAAGGTAGTCACCCTTGTGGTTTCTTCAGAGTTGCTTGTCTCCCTGGCACACACCCTATGGACCAAGACCCGATTACTCAAGAGAAAGATTTTGGGCTTAGATCCTGCTTTCTAGCATCCTGCCTCCCAAGTTCTTATCCACTGGCTCCTAGGATCATGTCAGATAGGGATTGTGAGGACAGAAAGTTGGTATACCTAAATCATCTTGTGCATTCATGGATACAGGATACAACATGAGAACATTCATCTGAGGGGATAAAATATTTTCTGAGCCTGAAGAACTCTGTTAGGACTAGACTCCAGGTTTTCTGCCAATGATCAACAGAATTTAGGGCACGGAATGGTTAATAAGTTAGAAAAGGAGAGGGTATCTTACCTGGTCACTTCATAGACGTGCTCTAGAAAGCAAGGAAGAATCAGGTTAGAAATTTATATGTAGAGTAGACAAGGGCCAATGAAACCTCAGTACCAGTCCAAAAACGGGGGAAGGAAACAGAAGAGAATTCAAGGTACCAGCTTTCTAATATTGAGAGATATTGTCACGAGTTGATATCCAGGGATATAGATTTGTCAGAGAAGTGGAAGGTACACATGCTTGATCTCCTTCCCCTTTGCTATTTCTGACTTAGAACATCAGGCTGAAGATATTGCTCAGCGTGGTTAAAGGGAGAACACGCCAGACTGTTCTTCACCCAGGATTCTCATCAAAGAGTCTCAGAAAATTCTGTGGGGAACTTGATTGCCCCGCTAAAGCCCAGGAAAAATGCACTGAATTTGGTTCCATGTCAGAGACCATAACCCAGTCCATTTTCAAGTGTGCTGATGCTGATATTACTCAAGAAAGGGCTCAGTTGTTACATAACCTCTTTTACCATATATGTGTGTGTGTGTGTGTGTGTGTGTGTGTGTGTGTGATTTATATCATATATTGGAAAAGTTGGTATTTTATTTAATTAATGAAATATATAATTACTTAAAACCCTAAAACTAAAAGGGACCCAACTAGATAATCATTGCCTCCTAGTGTCTGTGGAGGAGAACTGTTCTCTATTGCAGAGGATTAAATTGGCACAAAGATGGGTATTTATTTCTTGATACAGCCCTCTTCCCTCTAGGTGCTTATGCTAGTTCAGGGTAGCAACTGGAATTATAAGAAAGATAACAATGCAAATTATGGGAGTTTTATTTTGTAGAGACCCACATTTCCATGCTTTATTTCCCCCGATTGGACTGGGCTGGGAGCTTCTGTACTTCCAAGTCCGTTTTTTTTTTTTTTTTTTTTTTTTGTCTTTATATACTCAGTATCTGGAATACAAACTATGCTCAGTAGCTACAGACTAAATTGAATTACTACTCTGAAGCTGTCTCTCTTAAAGAGAAACAGAAAGCAGGAATTCTGGGAAGGCAAACTAAGAAGGGTAAAAAAATAAAACACAAAGACACATTGTGTAAGCTTTAGTTGCTTGTTTGAATTCAGTGACTAGAAATAAGAATAAGTTAAAGTGACTACTGGATGGGAGGAAAATAGGGCTAGACCCACATCATAGAGGGTCTTATTCCCTTGAGCTACGAGGAACTATGAAATATTTGGGGATATTTTAAGAGGCAAATAATCAGTAGTTACTCTCTTAACCTTAATAAGACTATGGTGAATGGTTTCTTTCAAATGGAGCTAGTATTTGTAGCCATTTGAGGAATTTCCACTCCCAAGATCATCCTGATGGATCACAGTCATGGTAACTGGCCAACATCATAGGTTCTACTTGAGACCCTGGGGAAGGAGATAGACAAGGCTCACTTCTATTTGATTAAAGTGATCTACAGCCAAAAAGGTGTTTATGAGTGGAAGATGCTACAGAAAAGTAGACAAGATAATTCTAGGCAAAATGACTAGTGCAGGGGTACTGAATTATAACTTTTTCTTAGAAACAAACAATTCAATGCCCCTCAACTTTGGGTTTTTCCATACTCATTAAATAGCTCTGACAATGCTGTCTTCATCATACTATTTCCCTGATCAAAACAACTGGGTTAATCTTAGGGCCATGGCAAGGC